AAGGTTGCTTAACAGTCAAAGATAATATTCTATCCTCCCTTGCCAATTAGACAATGGTACCAAGACCTCTAGGGAGTTACCTGCACAGCCAAGTATTGACAAAAAGCAGAAGACCCTAATGAGAATAGATGAACAGTTGAAGTAAATGTAATGGCTAAAGAACACAAGAGATAAACCACAGGTGGAAAGCTGAAGTGGAAAACAGATTAAAAGGTTGTGATCATAGCGTGTCCAAAAGTTGTTTGTGCATGATTATAAAAAAGCTTGTAGCTTTACTTATTTTTGGAATTCAGGCTTTTGATGCTTGAGTTCCCCTTTGTTCGAATAAAGTTCTCCTGCTCACTTCAGAGGCCTCACTGGCTGTGTTTCTGATTGGGACAAATATGCCAGGCAATGGCCCATTTGGCTAACAGCGGGGATATGATGATGTGTTACCCAGGCTCTAAATCAACTCTCTAACCACTACACCCCAGTAGCTTGATAATCTTTGATCTTCTGGTACATCTCCCCAAGAATGAAGCCTTTTCTTATCCTGGAATTAAAATTTCAGCAGGTATCCTAGACCAGTAGATTACACTAAAGAGCAGGAATTGTAGAGCCAACCTCCCCACCCATATCCTCCTTAAAATATCATGAAAGAAACATGGATATACGAATCAAGGGAACCTCCATGACATTCATAACAAATTCTTAGAATCTCTTCTGCTAAGAGCTGCAGCCATTGACAGACTTGTGGTGGCCTGGCCCCCTATGTCTATTCTGTGCTCTCTCCTTGAAAGCTCTTTCAGCTATGGAGATATAATGAAGCATTCTGTCCAATTGGTCTTTAAGAACAGGATTTGCTCCCAGTGTTGTGGCAGAACCAGTGCAAAGACATTAAGATGATAGATAAGCTCTTTAGAGGCTTGACAGTTACGTGTGCTGTTTCAAGGCCACCTCAAGTGTATTCTTATGTAATGTCCCATTTAATAACTATTCAACAAATATTGATAGGTAGAACTGAAGGCCATGAGCCTTTTGTTGCTTTCACAGCTAAAGTAGTGAACTCAGATTTTTATTTTAAGCAGGGGTTTCTTCCCCCTCAAGCCAATAAAACCATGTTTGGGCCATTTGATTTTGATCAGAACATCCTCCAGTTGTCAGGTAGAGTTGCCACCTGGTCTTTGCACCTTTAAAACTGCACAAAGGATATTAACTCCTAAATGAATCTCCCTCCCCCCACTCTGCATTACAATGGCTGCGGTCACACGTAACAAAAGCCACACAAGTGAGACGGAAAACAGCCGGAGTTTCCGGGCGCGATCTCACCAGCACATCTGGGAAGCGTAGCACTCCCGTGGCTCAACCGAGGCTTCCAGCCGAAACTGCGTGGCAAAAAACTAGTACCTTGGAGGTACTAGTTTCCGGAAACTGCGGGGCAAGGGCGGACGTCTGATCGCGTTTCCGGTGACATCCGGCGCCCGCCCATGTCCCCTTGCAAATAAGGTGTTGGTTTTTTTGTCCAAGTCTCTCTGGATGCGCATGCGCACCCAACGGAGCATGCGCATTTGTCATGTACACAAAAATAAAAAACAGTTTGCCGCGGCGCGCGCTTCTTCATTGCGCACCGGCTTGTCCTGTGATCGGCACCTCTCCCTTGCCATGGAACCTCCACGGTACCTCCACAGGACCTCCACAGGAGGTCTGATCGCGTAACTGTGCAGTAGTTTGCCCCAGGGCAAACAGCCACGCTTCTCCTCTGCGGTTTCCTGCCCGTGTGACCGGGGCCAATGTAAGGCAAAGCTTTACTTTCTGAACTTCTGCCTTGCTTTGCTATAAAAGCAAGGTGCTAACTCAAGAAGCAGCAGAAGTGACTGCAAGACAAACTGTTGCCATTTTAAAGCCTTATTCAATGTTGTCTGGCAGGTCTCCTACAAATGTTATGTCAGGCATTAGTCTAACCGGTGAACCACTGGGAAATCTGTTTTGATTTGGTGTGGTGCACTGGGATGTTCTCTGCTATGTTTTTTTACTCGAAAACTGTAATTTTTAAAGCAGTGTGTGATTTCATGGGTGATTTGTTGTGTTCACTGCTTTGATTATTACTATTTCTGTACATGTAGAAGTAGTATCCAAATTGGACTCTCAAGAGTCTTCTCCAGCACCATAGTTCAAAAGAATCTATTCTTCGGCGCTCGGCCTTCCTTATCGTCCAACTCTCGCAGCCATACATGACTACTGGGAATACCATTGCTTGGACCATGCGTATTTTTGTTGGCAGGGTGATGTCTCTACTTTTTATCATGCTGTTTAGGTTCGCCATCGCTTTCCTCCCAAGGAGCAGGCGTCTTTTAATTTCATGGCTGCAGTCACAGTCTGCGGTGATCTGGGATCCCAGGAACGTGAAGTCTGTCACTACTTCCACGACTTCCCCTTCTATTTGCCAAGGAGTGATGTAGTATCCAAATTTTACAGAGTAAATTTCCATTCCTGCATCAGTGTGTGTGTGTGTGTGTGTGTGTAAATATCCTTTATTCATGGGGTGTTCTGTGCAGGTACTCTCAGGGACCTGTATTAAATTAAACAAAAAGCAGCTACAAAAACATATACACACACAAAGGTATGAATTAGGGTACAATTATCAAATAACACTCAAGTTCTTTATGATTACAGTAGGATCACCAGGTCCTCCCTGGCTACCAGCAGATGGTGAGGGGGTAGGGTTGCCAGGCTAAGAAATTCCTGGAGAATTAGGAATGGAGCCTGGGGAGGACAGTGGCCTCAGTGGTACAATGCCATAGAATCCACCCTCCAAAGCATCCGTTTTCTCCAGGGGAACTGATCTCTGTAGTCTGCAGATGGGCTGTAATTCTGGGTGATCCCCAGGTCCCATCTGGAGGCACATATGCCTAGTTTACAGTCCACAGTCTGTTTTGCTTACTGCTGTAATCCCTTGAATTGAGGCAAAACCTCTACCCTGGAATATTCCACTTTGCATGCCCAATATAACACCCATCACATATGAACAAAGAATACAAGTCCCACAATATGCATTAATAACAATTTTTTTAAAAAAACCACACAACCTTTGCTCCATCCTAGGTTGCCAACCTCCAGGTGGAGCCTGGAGGACCCCCCCCCCATTTACGATTCCAGACTAAAGAAACCGGTTGCCCTATAACAAATAGCAGCTTTGGAGGGTAGACTCTGCACCATTATTCCCCTTGCAAACTGTGCCTTCCCCATGCTCCAACCCCAAATCTCCAGGAATTTCCCAGTCTGGAGCTGGCAACTCCAACTGACCAGTACGGTGCACAGAACATATTTCAAGAATTCTGTCAGATGGAAACTCTGATTCCTGAAGCACGTGCAGCTCCACTCGCCTTCCGCTCTTGAAACCTTAAAAGGGTAAGACACGCTGATAATGCTGATAGCAGCATTAAACAGCTCCTGTTGAATTCTTCTCCCTGTCTTTGAGGGTTTAAAAAATTATTAAGAAGTAAACTGTGATTCATGAAAGCTTCTGCTGGAATTTTGTTAGTCTTTAAATTTTGTTACTTTTTAAGGTGCCAGCGGGGCGGGCTCTTTTATTTAACCTAACGGTGCCAAGTCATCTTAGCCTTAAGAGGGCAAACGCCATCTTGCTTCAGGGCACCTATGACTTGAGTATTGAATATGAAAGGCGGCGGCCATTGTAGATGAGGGCAGGAGAATGTGTGGGCTGGGCGTACAGCGTTTTAAAAACCAGATTCGTCTTACTTGGAGACGTGACTTCCTTGTTATCTTTGACGTCACCCTCCTCCCCGCGCAAGACTGCCACCTAAAGGCGACAGCCACCTGTAAGGAGACGACAGGAAAACCCAGGACCTTAGCTGTGTTTAGACAGCAGGGGGCCTACCACGATAGTTCCAAAGACCGATGCTGTAACTCAGACCTGACTTCGTGTTAATTTTAGTTAAATTATGCTGCCTATACTAAGACAGCCCATAGTAATTCCCCACATTGTGGCAAAGCGAAAGGCTGCGGCTAACAGCTGCCCAGCGTTGTTACTTCCACTTTGCAATCGAGGTGGGTTACAAAACCCCAGCGATCCCAGCGGTATTCTGTATTTTTAGTTTCTCTCCCCTTTCTTTGAACACATCCAGCTTGAGGAAAAATTCGGGAGAGCTCTTTAACTTTTGTACGCTGTTTTGTGTCATTTTATAGCCAGCATGGTGTAGTGAGTGGCTGGAGGGTTGGACTAGGATCTGGGAAACACCGTGCCATGGAAACTCGCTAGGGTTGACTGATCCCCCCTGGCCACCAGCGGGGTGTGTGGGGGTAAGGTTGCCAGATCCAGGTTGGGAAACTCCTGGGGATTGGGGAGGGGGAGGGGGGAGACAGAGGTCTCAGTAGGTACAATACCAATAGAGTCCACCCTCCAAAGCATCTGTTTTCTCCAGGGGCACTGATTTCTGGAGATGCGCTGTAATTCTAGGGGATCCCCAAGTCCCACCTGGAGGCTGGCATCCCTGCCAGGGTTGTTTTGGGGATAAAATGAAGGAGAGCAGAATGATGTTCAACCGCTTTGCGTCCTCCTTGGGGACAAAGGCGGGATACAAATAAATAAAATACAGAAAATATTGTAGTTGGTCTGAAAGACAGCTGGGGTGCCGCCAGGGCTGTTAAACAGCGCTGTAGTGCAAGCCGCGCGCCTTTCTGCCCCAAACCAGGTCCGCCTTGTCTTGGTGCCTGTTTTCTCCGGTGCAATCGAGACTATGTCGGCTGAATCCGCTGCAACCCCCTGCGGTGTTACTCCAGTCCAGTTACCCCCCCCCCCCCGGGCCGTTCAATTATTTGGCTCGCCGCCTCCAATCCAGGCACTCGCCGCACTCCCCCCAAGTCTGTCCTTCGTCCAATGAACACCTCGTGCCTGATCTGGCCCCTCGCTACAAAACGCGCGCGCCGCCTCTGCCGGGGAAAGGGCAGGCGGCCCTTGCGTACGCGGCGCTCCAGCTTCGCTCTCTCGGCCGGGGCGGGTCGCTGGGCGGCCAGGTGGTTCCCTCCTCTCCTAATCAGAGACGCGAGAGGCGTCGCCGTCGCGCTTCTCCCCCAGAGCTTCCCGCGCCGCCAGGAAGATGCTCCCCGGCTCCATGTCGCGCTGCGCGGGATGCTTTCGGTGGCGGCTGCTGTGCCTGGTGGCGCTCCTGGCGGAAGGGGAAGGCCAGGAGTCGGCGGCGGGGCGGCTGAGCCCCTACTTCGGCACCAAATCCCGCTACGAGACCGCCAACCCGCACCTCCTGCGGGAGCCGCTGTCGCTGGGGCCGCCGCAGCCGGGCTTCCCCTTGCCGGCGGCCTCCTGCACGCCGCTGCGGCTCCACGCCGTCATCCGCCACGGCACCCGCTTCCCCACCCGCGGCCAGATCAAGAAGCTGGCGCGGCTGCACAGCCTGGTCGGGCAGAGGAATGGCAGCTGCCCCGCCTCCCTGGCCTTGGACTGGTGGGCCATGTGGTACCGCGAGGAGATGGACGGACTGCTGGCCGAGCGCGGGCGCCACGACATGAGCCTGCTAGCCCGCCGCCTGGCCGCCCGCTTCCCCGGCCTCCTGGCCCCGCAGCGCCGCTTCGTCTTCATCTCCAGCCACAAGTCCCGGTGCGTGAACAGCAGCGAAGCCTTCAGGGACGGCCTGTATCGGGCGCTCCACGGGCAGCAGCAGCAGCAGCAGCAGCAGGCGCCCACGCTGGAAAGCAATCGTGAGTGGCTTCTCTCGCGGCCCTGCGCCCTCCGCCTTGGTTTCTCTTCCGGGAACCTGTGGCTCCTTCCAACCTTGTTTGTGCTGCTCACTCGCTCGTTTTCCGCCCTCAGCCGAGCTAAAATCATGGCTCCGAGCAACTCCTAATACATATTTCACATAAGGCGGCCGGGTTGCTGTGTAGAGGCGAGATAAAACAGAAGTCTAGCGGCACCTTAAATAACTGGAACAGGTTTTTGTTAGTCTTTAAAATGCCACTGTGTTAGAAAGTGTTACATTCCTTATTGAACATCCACCAAAGGCTGCCCCTTGAAAAAAATTCTGCTCTATGTTTACTGGGAAGTACATCCTGTCGAGTAAAGGCTTTGCAATTTTTCTTTTGTAGTGTGCATCTTTTACAGCCTCATTACTGCCGATGCTCTGCCTTGTTTGTGAATCATTTTGTTCCATGGAGAAAAGGGGGCTTTTGTATTTGATGTCAAAGCAGTTGCTTTTTATACTTATCCTAATGGCAGGGGTATAGGATCATTTCTAAAATGAGCAATTACTTTGACTACAACCCCCCCCCAATACTGTAAGTCTTTATCCCCCTCCCATCCAGTGTTCTCTCTAATTTTTTCCCTGTACTACACAGAGCAGTTCATATCCTGAGCAGAATATAACTGTTACAATCTTAAAAAGGGCAATGGGCAGTGCAAGACTATTCAGGTAGGAATATAGCCAGTCATTGCACTGAAACCAGAAGGGAAGGATTACCAGGTAAAGAGACATCAGCTCTGAGAGACTACCAATTATGCCTTTGGCTGTTACTGGACAGCTTCCTAGCACAATTGCATGTTAAATCATTACAAGGGAGGAAAACACTGGGTTGCAGTCACTGTTCCCTCTAAGCTGAGTTAAGGTGAGCTAGCTCAAAGTTTTTTAGCCTCTGGCTCACACATTTTTGTCTTAGCTCAGGAGGGATGGCTCCAGAGCAAACTAGTTTATGCAGTAACCAAATCACTCACTCACAACTTTAATGCCAGTAGCTCATGAAATTGAATTTTTGCTCACAAGACTTCACAGCTTAGAGGGAACATTGGTTGCAGTGAGCTACCCACAACATCTAGATTTTCCATTAAACCTGAGTGAATGACTGATTGGTAATTCCAGATAGTAATGCCATCTCTCTCTTTCAGGGTTTCCCCCTTTCAAATTATCCTTAACCCCATTGCTGTCTTCCTTTAATTAAAAAAAAAGGAATAGATAGAGAAAATGAGACCATGCTGCCTTTACTCTCTGCAGATGCTCAGTTGCTATTTTGGCACAGCAATGATTAACTGTGAATGACTGCTGCAAGTCAGCTTGCAGCAGAGATGAGATTTCTCAGGTATATGGTCCAATTTTTAGAAGTTTTGTTGCAGGCGTAAATATATATACAGGTTCAAAAGCAAAGTGTTTGTGACTAAACATTACCCATCATATCTAAACGTGCAGCTCCTTTATCAAAATAGTTGACTGGATCTTTGCTGACATCCCAACTGTTGACTATTAAAAGAAAAGAGAGAAAAGGGCACTGAGGTCTTATCGATCAAAAAGAGGCAAGCTACACGTGCAGCTCCTTTATCAAAATAGTTGACTGGATCTTTGCTGACATCCCAACTGTTGACTATTAAAAGAAAAGAGAGAAAAGGGCACTGAGGTCTTATTGATCAAAAAGCGGCAAGCTACACGTACATTTTCTTTGAACTGGCATGACAGGATTTTTTCAGTGTCATGTGGGGGAGTGTTAATCATAGGCTGGGGTGGAATGCAAAACCTTACGCCTGTTGAGAATAGGATTGTGAAAGTTTCACCTTTGTGGGGTTATTTTGTTTTTTATCCTGTCTCGAAGGAGCACAGGGTGGCATACTCCCTGATGGTTCAAACTCCCTCACTCTTAGCTTCGCAACAACCTTTCTAGGTGCCAGTTTGGTATAGTAGTTAGGAGTGCAGACTCTAATCTGGGAGAACCGGGTTTGATTCCCCACTCCTCCACATGCAGCTGCTGGTGTGACCTTGGGTCAGTCATGGCTCTCTCAGAGCTGTTCTCTCACGAGCTCCCTCAGCCTCACCTACCTCTCAGGGTATCTGTTGTGGGGAGGGGAAGGGATTGTAAAACGCTCTGAGATTCCTTCAGGTAGTGAAGGGCAGGGTATAAATCCATCCTCCTCCTCCTTCTCATCTTCTTCTTCTTTGAGAGACAATAGTCCAATGCCACCCAGAGAGTTTCATGGCAAGCAGGAATCTGGACCTGTGCTTTCCCCCACATTGGTTCTGCTGACATTACACTACTCCTGATACACTTGGTTTGATTGTTAATTAATCATAACTGGACTCAGTCTCTAGAGATTGTACATGTTCAGAGCATTTCTCAGAGGAGAGAAAGGAGGAAATCTCTTTGGTTTAATGTGAGAGACTCCAGGTCTCTGAAGTGGAGCTTTGATGTCCTGTGCCCATGTAAAATGGTCGTCGCAAAGAAAAAAGTCTCTCTCTCTCTCGGTGTTCATGATAACTCAGTGGAGCCTCAGGGTTAATAGATATCTGTTCATATATATATATCCCCATGTTCAGGATTAATAGATATCCGTATATGTGTGCGCGTGTATATACACACACACCCCAATTCTTGGATACAAAATACTAGAAACAATTTATGATCCAGAGTAGTTAGTATGAAAAAGCTGAAAAACTTTGCTTTAATGTAGTCATGCATGTACTGATTTTGTTTTTTAATGTACTGTGGTAACCGGGCATAAGTTGGACTTTCTGTGCAGTTTAATGATTCTGGAGTTTTACGTGGGAAGAATTAACCAAGCATTTTCTTTTTTCATTTTCAGCGGCTATGCTGGGAGACATTAAAATTAATGACACATTAATGAGATTTTTTGACCTGTGCGAAAAATTTGTAAGAGACGTGGAAAACAATAAGGAAGCTATGCATGAACTGGATGACTTCAAAACAGGTCCTGAGATGAAGGAAGTGATAGAGAGAGTTGCGGATAAATTATGTCTACAAGCGGATCAGTTAAATGCAGGTAATGCTCTCATCGATCTCGCTAAGTTGCCTGTATTCGCCAGCTGAATTCTGCTATCGTGTGAATAAATGTTAACATGTTTCCAAACTTCCAGAGGGTGGCCGTGTTGGTCTGCAGTCGAACAGTCAGGTTTGAGCCCAGGAGCACCTTAGAGTCTGGACGAAGGGAGTTTTGACTCTCAAAAGCTCATTCCCTGAAACTCTTGCTGGTCTCTCAGGTGCTCCTGGACTTGAAATCTAAACATTTTCAAAAGTTCAAGTAGACAGCTGTATATACCTGTACGTGGTACCTTGTTTATTCCTCGCCACTTACGGGTTGATTCATGTGAACCCAAGAAAGACATTCTTTCTTTTAGTAGTGATGTGTATTATGATGCACATGGTGTTTGTGCATGCACACGTGCCACGTTTACCCATTAGCTTTTAGTTTTATCTCTACTTTGTGCTTGGGTAGTAGGCTGGAGAGAGCAGAGAGTTGTATTCTATTGAGCGAACTTATGGCGGCATTTCAGATGGCTGGAAAATAGTGGGATGTAGAAAAGATACAGCCCCTGACCTGGATAGCCCAGGTGAGCTTGATCTCGTCGGATCTCGGAAGCTAAGGAGGGTTGGCCCTGGCTAGTATTTGGGTGGGAGACCTCCAAGAAATACCAGGGTCATGATGTGGAGCCAGGCAATGGCAGGACACCTCTGAATGTCTCTTGCCTTGGAAACTGTACAGGGTTGCTATAAGTCAGCTCTGACTTGACACCACCACCCCCAAAAAGGGGGGGGGGAGAGAAAGGATATGCTATGGGAACCCGTCCATTAATTTTTTGCATAATGTGCACATGAGCATTTTACTGCTGCATTGCTTCTTTACTACAAAATATGCCTTTTACCAACAAATTCAGTAGCTGCTAACGAACATACTTGCTATTGACCATGTTTACTGTTTATTTATTTACAAATATTTATTCACTGATGTTTGTCTACTAATGTGGGGTTCAGGGTGTCCCCTCAAGAGCTCAGGAATTCGCTCATCCCTCACACCTCTTTCTGGCTGCCCAGGGGATTGTGGAGCTTCAGAACTACAGAGGAGAGGCTGTTTGCAACATCCGGTTTCTCCACTGGGCCTCTCCTGTGTGCCTTGGAGAGAGACTCCAGCCACTTACTCACTGGGCTGTTCTTAAGCCCCTTATGGGGTCAGTGCAGCCATCTTGCAAGAGCTCAAGAACAAGCAAAGTAGAACAATATTGACGGGCAAGAATACATGTTAAGACTCCATAAAAAGGAAATCCAGGTAGTAAAATTGAGGAAAATAAAGCCAGAGTTTAGAACTAGCCAGCAATTAATTAATAAAACATTCTGCAGTCAGTTAAATTTTGTAACTGGACAAAGAGTAAATTTAATATAACCTCATTGGCAGTGAGACAGCACATGTGGCTGTTTTAGTCCTTGAAAAGGTGTGGTGGGGGGAAGGGTGTTGTACGGAAGGCTCAATCAGGATTGGGTCCTTGGGGTATTTTTAAATGGTTTCAGAATGGTAGCAGTGTTCTTGTAGCCACCCCCAAAATGACTGCTTTATCTACCAACAATACCTTAGTTCCAGGCTATTTCAGCTTACAGATAATGATTTTGTACACCTTGCTACACTGAAAGCTCAGTTTCTCGCATGGTATCTTTAGCATAATCTAACAAAAAATCCCCACATTATGAAATGGGATATTGTTGCTGTTAAATGTTCTCATTGTCATTTGTCATCTGGCTTTGCTACAGATTGGAATCTCGTGTCCTTTTCATTTGTCCATTGGAACTAGCAACAGGAACAATAAGTTCCCCTTTTAATACAGGATTGGGTCCTTGGGGTATTTTTAAATGGTTTCAGAATGGTAGCAGTGTTCTTGTAGCCACCTCCAAGATGCCATCATGTCTAGTTTGGCTCTCAGCACCCCCCAAAATGACTGCTTTATCTACCAACAATACCTTAGTTCCAGGCTATTTCAGCTTACAGATAATGATTTTGTACACCTTGCTATACTCAAAGCTCAGTTTCTCGCATGGTATCTTTAGCATAATCTAACAAAAAATCCCCACATTATGAAATGGGATATTGTTGCTGTTAAATGTTCTCATTGTCATTTGTCATCTGGCTTTGCTACAGATTGGAATCTCGTGTCCTTTTCCTTTGTCCATTGGAACTAGCAACAGGAACAATAAGTTCCCCTTTTAATACACGCAGTGTATACTCTCAATGTGCCTCCTCAGTGGAGATCTAAAAATCTGCAAGGTGGACAACCGAGAACAGGGGGAATTTTTCTACAGGAGCGGGGGGGGGGGGACTCTTCTCCATAATCTATTTATTGGTTTTTTGACAAACAAACACACCATGGGATATACAAATATTTGTGTACATTGTAAGATTCCAAAAACTGGATTAATAACTCCATTCATTTCCTCTTTATCCTTTCCCTATCCAGTAGCTTAAAACACTATTACAGGATTTTATACATTACTTTAACAACAAAATTTATAGTAGATTTAAATTACAATTCCTTTAGTATCAATAATGTTACTATCAAACCAGCTTTTTTTAAAGCGAATCTAATTGCATAAGTAATTCCTCATTCCCTATTTGTGTTGCGTAGAAGATAAGATTTTATTTTTATTTGTTTACAATCGCTCTATATCTAATGATCCACATATACCATTAACATTTTATAACCACACTCTCCCTCTTATCTTTATTTATTTTCCATTTTACTAATATTTACTAATATTTTGTTAATATGCCTGTTCAAACATTTCCACCTTCTCTTTAGACACCCATATACTTTAGGAAACCATACAATTAATATGATTGACAATTCATTTCTTACTAATACTTCAGATTTATTTTATATTCTAAAAACAAAAAATCTATACTACCTCTTAATCAACCCTCTATACCAACATTTAAATATCGTTTATAATTTTGGTTAATTTATACTTGAAATATTTTATTACTTCCACTACTTATAGAAAAAAAAACCTCCTTCTGGCCCTCTTTTCAAATATTATATTCTCTTCAATCCAGCAATAAAGAGGAAGACAATATTTACCTACATAAAGCAAAACAAAAAACAAACCAAAAACAAACCCCCCACTATTCCTGCTTTACTTAGTTTACTAAGTTCCTTACCCCTGCCCCTCTTCTGTGTTAACACCTGCCCCATACCAAAAATATATTCTAGCCAAAATCCATTTATATACCTAAATCCATCCATACTCATCAAATAACAATAAAGAAAAAAGAAAAACCTTGACTAAATTAGTAGAACATCTATAAATCAGACCATCCAATTACCCATTAGTTGCATTTATACCAATTTCACATTAAGAAGATCCATTTTTTTCCCTTTTAAACCATTTGTATCCCAAACATAAACCCACAATCACAACAACATCCAACATAATTTTTGTCTTTCCCTTTCCCCCCCCCCTCTTTCTAACAATTCTTTTTCCCTCTGAACTTCACTCAGATGTCTTGCAGTTTTATATTCTCCAATCTCCAGTTCAAAGCCACATCTTCCATTTTTCACAGGGTCAGTCCTCGTTCTTTTTTCCACTTTAATTTTCTTAACCGAAGCCTTTCCTTTCACGTTCTTTTTCTCCCTCGCCTTCTTTTTCAGGCATAGTTTTTTTGTTACCTCCTTCCCCAAAATACAGCTTATCTTCCCTTTTATGAAACACCTCTTATGCTTATCTGTCTTTTGGTTCATTTCTTTCATTACAATCACGTTACTATTTTGTAGTTCTTTCACCTTCTCATGATTACCACTTTGTTCTTCTATAAATCCTTGGGCTTGCTGGAGTTGTTTTTCATTTGTATTTTCATCTTGGTCTGAACTTTGGAAGTCTTTCATTAGAGTGTTGCAGGCAATTTTAACAGCTTGTTTTATTTCTCTCCTCAAAAAGTTTGAAAATTGTTCCCAAGTTAAGTCTCCAACTGGTGTATCTGGATCAAATTCCTCCCCCTCTATTTCCTCCTCCATTTTTTTGCTCTCTCTCATCTTTCCAGACTCCCAATTTTCACAAAGCTTTTTAGTTTGTCTTCATAGCAGCACAAACAATGGAAATTTTCTTACCCCCCCTTCTTCTTAAGTGATATCTGCTCCAGTCCAATTCCCGGCCATTTTCTTCATCGTTGGAGCTAGCTGCTTGGGGTAATTAGTCCAATGTCCAAAAGCAAATTTTTTCCAAAAATTTCTCGTGCGCTGATCTTTTCCTTTCTTTTACAATGTACTTTCACTCTATTCCTTTTATAGTCCCAGAAGTTAAAAAAAAACAGCCATGTTCTTTCCCGGCCGTTCGTTCCTGCTTCGGGTCTGTTCTGGTCACCACCACCCCCGCATTGCCAGTTGCGGGAGGGGCCAAAAAAACCCCCCACCCTCTGCTCCAGCCCTCTCTCCGGGAGGGCTGGCCGAGCTCTCCCGACGACCAGGAGGCTCGAAACAAAACAAACATGGTTCGGGCGGCTCGGAGCAAGCCGAGCGTCCGCCCGTCAACGCGCCGTTGACGACTCTCAGATTTTCTGAAAATCTGAATTTTCTGAAAAAAAGGATGAGAATTAAAAAAACCCCAAACTGTTGAACCACTGTCTTCTCTTGCACAGACATGTCAACCTAAAGAGAAAAGGAGATCTTAGCTGCATTTTGGAATTGCATAGTAAATTGAATAACTGTTGCTAGGGCAGGTGAGAAGAAGGTAGAGTAGACAGTGGCTGTGCTGGGGGGGAGTTCGAGGAAAGGAATTCCAGGTTGTGAACAATGGCCCTGGTGAATCCTGGGAGTGCAGCTGTAGTCTGTGTGTCCACAGTTCTACAAGTGCAGCAAGTTGCAAAGATGATAAAAAGTGTAGAATGAGGGAGGAATCCATTTGTTCTTGCATATTGTCTCCCTTGTGACCTTGTTCCCATATTGTCTCTCATTCTGCATTTGCTTAGCTGTCTCACGTATGGTTGAGGTGGTGGTGGTGGTTGCACTTCCATTTCCATATAAGCTTTGCTTTTGGTGACCTGGGGCATCTAACTTGTTTAACAATTAATTGCATAGTTTGCCTTGGCAAAACAGAAGTGATTTTAATGTCAACTGTTGCTTGTCTTTTCTACAGATTTGGTTCAGGTGGCATTTTTCACGTGCTCGTTTGAGCTAGCTATCAAAAACATCAGCAGCCCCTGGTGTTTACTGTTTAGTAGAGAAAATGCCCTGGTAAGTGCTGTGTTCTGCTAATTCAGTGCTCCAACACAGATTTACTGCTTTGTTTCACGAAATTGTGCAATTAGCAATGGATAAATTTCCTTCATCTCAAGTAGTTGCTTCTTTGTTAAGTACATTTGCGAATGCCTGAGAAAGAACTTGTTGTGTACTGACTTCTAGATTGGAGATTAGAAAGAGAGACTGCTGAATTGCAACTGATAATGAAGCTTAAGACAATGCATCCATCTGGAATGAATCAAGACCAAGGTTTCCTGTCTCACTACCAATGCTCATTTCTCTACGCCTACCACCTCTCTGCATATCACATCTTCTATTGCCATTTGCCTGTGAATGTCATTTGGCATCTGAAATCACTCCACTTTCCAATAGATAGGACAGACAGACTCACATTCTAGCTGTATCTGAAGAAGTGAGCAGTGACTCATGAAAGCTCATACCCTACCACAAATGTTGTTAGTCTTTAAGGTGCTACTGGACTCTTACTCTTTTCTGCTTCTTCTAGATTGGCTTACAGGTTTTGTTCATAATGTATTTGGGCATGTATCCTCACATTTTTCCCCATTCAAAACTGATTAAAAAAAAATAATCAGCTGTCAATTCAGTCATGCAAGAAGAAAGGTGGCTAATAAACGCTTTAAATAAATAAATAAATAAATAAGCTGGATCTCCATGATTGTAGTCTAACCACTACATCATACCAGCTGTCCTCATGTATATTTATTTACTGTATTCATATTCCATCTTCCTTACTGAGACTCAGAGCAGCGTACACAGTGTGAGTCAGTAACGTTCCATACAAAGAGGCGTCTAATACGCAAAGTGTTGACTGATACTTTCAGTATGAGGAGACACCTAATGAGCAGTGTACTAGGACTAGGATTACTGTAATCCAAATGAGTACACAGATGTGATACAGAGAGCAGATATAGTGATGGAAATCCATATTGCATCAGTAGAAAACAATGAAGCAAAAACAGGATGATACTTTGCAGCAAACTGATAATATGTCTTATATATGCATTGGCTTCATCTTCTATGTTAGAATTTTTTTTCTTGTAAACCTTACAACAGAAGTTTACAACCTCTCATATTGAATCTAACTATTGTCTTGACAGGCTAGCTTACTATTCGCAGAAGTGTTTGTGTGTGTGCTGACTAGGGAATATGTAAACATGTGAATCCCTACCTCCAACAATACAAGTAGCTCTTCCTCTGGACCCATGGATCACCAGCCTCCATGAACATTTTAGAGTGAAAGAGCCCCCCCAAACCCAAATGCCCTGTTGCATCTGGATGATGCCCAATACTTATATGTGCAAATTTGGCCTTTCACTTTTTTGACATTTTTTATGGTAGTTTAGGGAGCCTTCCTCAGTCAGTCATCTTGAGTATGGATGACAGAAATAATATACATAAATACCTGGCTGTTATCAGTCCACATTTTAAAGATGTGTTTACTGGTTTAAGTGCCTAGTTGGCAACTATGTTAAACAGGGCACACACTTTGAATTCTACACAGTCTGAAAAGTCAGCAACATAGACTACACATCTCATTCTCTTGCACAAGCAACTCCTTTCTCCCCATTATGAATAGCAATAGAGGAGACTTCTGAAAGAGTCTTCCCCTTTAGCTTCACTAACTCCAAAAGACAAGAAAAATGCTTCTATAACTTTCTCCCCCCCCCCCCCCCGATATTATAATAATTAACAAAGGGGTTTTGGTTGTTCATTTGTTGTGCCTGGCTTGTGTTGACACTGAGGAGTAGAAAGTGAGGACTCTACCAAAGTTCTGGTTCCTAAGTGTAGTGGGGCAGCAAGGGGGATTTTAAAAAGGAGGCTGTACCACAGATGGGGATAGGGTTATGCTACAGACAGATCAATTCCTTGGTCCATTCGTTGCCTGTCCTTACACTGTGTATTGAATCAGATGAAAACACAAAAAAACAAATCCCTTTTTATGTGACAAAGCATTTAATGTATGATTTTAGGTACTTGAATATCTGAATGATCTAAAGCAATACTGGAAGAGAGGATACGGATATGAGATAAACAGTCGTGCCAGCTGCATTCTTTTCCAGGATATCATCACAAATTTGGACCAGGCTGTAGCAGAGAGTAAAAAGTAAGGTGTATGTGTGCTATGGGTGCGCTGGGGGAGGGTAGACCCACATGTTCTCGTTCGTGACAGTATTAAATGTGCCCTTGCGTGTTGATTGAATGTGTTGAGCTGTCTGTTGTGTTCAAAGTGACCAAGATCCATAGTGTAGTTCCATCTCTTAGCAGCTGATGGCAGTATAAGCACAAAACATTAAAAGAAAGTTGGTGCAAGCAACTTCATTGCCTTTTCTACTTTCTGTTTGCTTGACCAAAGAGTAAGCACTTCTTTACCCTCAAGAAGTGAGTGTTGGATGATCATAGCATTCCTAAGAGGTTAAGATGATAAGAACAGAGTTGTGAGATCCCGATTAACAGCAGTAGAGTTCATGATTTTAGGCTGTATTTAATTTTCTTCCATGCATAGGAAAACTAAACGAGGGTCCATCTCTAGGTATACATGGATTGTTTTAAGCTCTCTTTTATAAAGCTGATTTGGGCTGCAGTCCTAAGTGTACTTATTTGGAAGCACGTCCTGCCCACTATTACTGAACATGGTTATAGTTGGGTGCAGAGGTCATTTCCTGCTGGAGCGCACAGGAGCAGAGCTCCGGGAGTAAAGAGCCTAGGGGGCGGGCACATGCAACAAGCCCCACCCCCTGCTCTCAGCAGCCCTCAGTCAGAGCAAAAGGCAGCCAGGTAAGTTGCAGAGCTCCCCCCAGCCCCTCAGTGACACTTTTAAGACCAAGTTTTATTCAGGTACAAGCTCTCCCCCCTCCCTCCTCTGCGAAGACAGATCTGTATGTCGTTGTCGTCCCCCCAAATAGCTGGCAATCCAAAAAAGTCCAGTGGAGCCTGAGCGGTGGGTGTTGCCTTCTGACACACTTCCGGTGATGTCAGGGGGTGAGGCATATGCAAATAAGTTATGCTAATGAGTTATGCTAATGAGCTCCTGCACCTCCTTTTCTACGAAATGACCCCTGGTTGGGTGTTAGTAACATTGAGGCCATGGCTATATCTTTTTATCTTTGTACTTCAGTTTGTGAACCTAGTTGTGAATCAAGGTTTGAGATGTTACTGATATAACTTTGCTTACCTTTTGACCTAGATTATCATTGGGCATAGTTAAACCATGTAGTTGCTTCATCAGAGTTACATTTTTCTTACTACTGTAACTATGTAGCTTGTTCTTTCTCTTCAATTTTAATTTCATTTTGCCTCTGTGACATACACATTTTGTAATATTACTGCAGTTAGCCTGTATTTGTCAATTAGGTGCCAGTTTGCAAAGGAGGTTAGGGCTGCTTGGTCTTTATTAGCTATGTAGAAGAAGGAATTTCAACAGGTGCAGATTCGGGGGATGGAGCGACAGCAGAGCCGTGCAGTCACACTAAAGAGGCCAAGTTGGTTACAACGAGGGCCAGGGCCTTCTCTGTGGCGGCCCCTCACTGGTGGAATGAGCTCCCAGAAGACATCAGGGCCCTGTGGGACCTCACAGGGCCTGCAAAACGGAGCTCTTCCGCCAGGCTTTTAAGTAGGGTGCCACCTCAATCGCATGGCCCTGGTCTGATTACCACCTGATTACCAACTGTGTCAACAACTGGCCTTTGCTTGATTACCAAGCTGTGCCAACAACTGTACCATTATTGGCACCGACAGTACCAATGGCGTCACCAACCAAGGCTTTATAGCTGGGCATGAGGCGGTGGACAGTGTTCAATTGACAGCCGATATCAGAAGATTCGCCATCTTTTAATATAAGTTGTATGATTTCATATTGATTGACAGTTTTAATGGAATTTTCATGTATTTTTATATATGTTGTTAGCCGCCCTGAGCCTGCTGAATGGCGAGGAGGGCGGGATATAAATGTAAATAAAAATAAAAAATAAAATAAAAAGCTGCAGGAAACTCAGGAGAAGGCAGAGATAGCAGCTGCTGGTATGCAAAAGAACTCTAAAGAAATAGCTGAATCAAAACCTTTTGAAGGTTGGGTGAAAAGCAAGCTAATGCTGTTAGAAACTAAATCATGGGAAACTAATGTGAAATTCCATCGAATTTCTTTGAACTTTGAATTAAATAAGGACCTTACTGTTGCTTTAAACCAGTGGTTAGAAGGAATTATACAGCTTCCTGGGCCAGTGGTAAACAATGCTGCTGTGTAAACCCTCCCCGAATGGGCTCGTACCTGATATTGTGGCAGATCTTAAAGACACAAAGACTAAGAGTAACCTCTTGGAAATTGCTAGGAAGGTCTAAAGCTTGAGGACACTTTGGTTCAGCTATATCCAGATATCCCATTTGAAATATTAAATGCTAGGAAAAATATGCGCCCAATTGCACAAAAGCTTGCAGAGAAGAACTTCAGGTATCTTTGGCTTCTGCTTGGACATATATCGGTCACGTACCAAGGAAAAAGACTCACAGCTTATGACTTAATATCCAGCGAAGAGCTTCTGAAGGCGTTGGAATTGGACTCAGGCTAGGAGTCTAAGAACTGACAAGCAAAAGAAGATGAACACACCAAAAGACTGTAAAGACATACACTGGAGGAGATTGCAGCTATAGTTATTTTTTTTCTCTTCTCTCTCCCTGTCTCTTTCCCCTTTTTGCCTTATATATTTCCCCCTAAGCAAAGCAACCTGGAACATAAAGTGTAGGGGAGCACGTGGGTAGGGCTATTGGGACAACCCCCCACACCTCCCCAATGGGCAAGACTCCATTGAGAGTCTTCTCCGGAATTGCTCCGGAGTATCAGGTGAGGGAACGCCAATTAGAAGAGCTCCAGTTTGAAGAAGAGGAATAGAATGTAGTAAAGATCTAAGAGAGCAGAGCTAAGAAATGGAGAAATATATTTTCAGTTTGTATTTTTTATTTTACGTTATTGTAACCCATCATTATAATGATTTAGAAATGAAATCTATATAGAGCACATGTTATAAAATAAGGAGATTTAAAGGGAAATTATGGGAGATAGAGTTTACAAGTGTAATTGTACTGGAGCAATTTTGAGAGGCAGGAATATTAACTTAGGCGCGCCAATTCTACTGGATAAAGATTATAATTTATCTATGAAGTAGAAGCATAATAGGATTGGCAATTTGTGGAAAACCACTATCAAAAAATGTTAAATTTACTTTTTGTTGTAGAACAATTTGTAAATAACTTGTAAGAGTTTGAAATTAATAAAAAAAATTAATTGAAGGGGGGGAAAGGTGCAGATTCTTACTCCTGTATGAACCTGCTACAGCTACTGAAATTTTTTCCTTCATACTGTTTAGAGGTACATGAGCCCTTTTTTCACAAGGTATTTGGTCACAAGTTCAAATATTTATTCAACAGCTTGAAGGTATGATTAATGCCTAAACAAGATTTCTCGCCTGAAGTATTTCAGGATGTGCTGCAGGTAAAATTGCTTAAGCAGGCTTCCTTTATCCTACAGTGTCTAATGCAAACCACTGCCAGGAAGCGGTCCTGTTAGCAGGGAAGTGCTGGGTGAGAAGTCACTTAAAGTAATAAAAGTGTAAGAGAGAAACAACATTCTCCTTAAGAACTGGAAGGGAATACCATTTTATTTATCAGACTCCTTACTGTAAGTCAGTACTGTGGAAAGAGAGATATATGTATGTATTAATTTAGGTGTGTTTAGGAGCTGCAGTGGCTCAAGTGGTTAAGATGCTGAACTGCAGGCTGTGATAGATCAGTTCGAGACCCGGGTGCCGCATGACGGAGTGAGCTCCCGTCTCTAGTTCCAACTCCTGCCAACCTAGCAGTTCGAAAGCAAGAAATTGCAAGTAGATAAATAGGTACCACTTTGATGGGAAGGTAACAGCGTTCCGTGCGTCTTGGTGTTTAGTCATGCCGGCCACATGACCACGGAAACGTCTTTGGACAGCGCTGGCTCTTCGGCTTTGAAACGGAGATGAGCACCGCAACCCTAGAGTCAGATTCGACTGGCTTTCGAGAAAGGGAACCTTTACCTTTAGGAATTTAGTATTTTTATTGGGCACTTGGATGGTCACAAATCACTTAGATTACGCCACCTAAAAAACATTCCTAAATTATATCACAGTTTAACCTCTGGGGGAGGAAGTGTTCAGCTACACCCAAATTTGAAACTTCATGCTGAGATTGAAAACAAGTTCTTTTGTTTGTTTGTTGTTTAACTTGGATCCAGCCGGGAGGATTGCTACACTCTGAGTTCCAGAATGTTCAAATATGAACAAGTCATATTTGAACATGCAGACACTGCAGAACAGAATATGCAGAATCATAAAGACACTTCTTACCTATTATATGTATAAAGTACTGAGGCTGATGTGTTGGAGAGTGATTACAGCTCATACTTTATTTAGTTACATTAAGATCTTGAGATGTTTTAACCGGCTCGTGGGCCGGCTTATATTCCCAAATCACACCACACACACACACCCGTGATAGGGTATTTACAGTGCACCCATAGGTCCCTTCTAGGATCCCAGCCTCCTGATAGGTGCGCGCTAGGATCCGTTCTGGCTATTGTCTTTGGAGATGAAGCTCGGGCCCTTCGCCTGACCACGTGTTGACCCGACCACATGCACGGACTTCCCTGGGTATGCAACAATATGTAAGCTGTAAATATACACGAGGTTCAAGAAAAACATCATGCGTAATGATTAGCACCTGTGCTAGAAAACTTGCTGATATCTGAATGGCAAGTAGGATGGTATTGTGTGACATTGTGCAAACATTCACAGAGTATAGGATTTCAACTTTAGTGAAATGGAGATGTGAGAAAGTATTAATAAGCTTACAACAACAACCTATTATGGCAAGCAGAGCTCTTTTTTATTAGAGAGAACCTGGGGCAAAGGTGGCATGGAACAAATACCTCATGTTTATCTACTTCCATCTGATGGTTTAAAAGCCTCCCATCTAGTAGCACTTTCTCCCTATGCTCAGTCCTGAGGATAGTGCCTTCTGCACGCTTGCTAATTATGCATGGAAATTGGTACCAATTAGAGGGCTTATGGGCATCAGAGAAGAAATGCTACTCTAAGGATACGTGTACACCTATTTTTCCTGATAGGAATGTGTCAAGGATTCCCTGAACACTTAGAATAATGCCAGAACATGTCTATGAATTTGTCCCTTTGCGTAATTGCTTGGACGTGGATAGACACTAACATGATTGGAAGCCTGTGTGGCCAAGGAATCCATTCATTCATTCATTCATTTCCATTTTTATCCCATCCCTTCCCTGGCACTTTGGACGGTTAACCAGCATCTTGATGATAAGGGTAATCATTCTCAATACGCTATTATTTTTTAGTAGCATCTAGTCCTTCGCACATGGGTAGTGCACATCTGTGCAGAGGATTTCTCCCCATCCTTAGCACATGGAAATGTATGCAGTCAGTGCACTGAGCCATAACAGGGAATGGGGGGGGGCTCCAATGACCTCCACCAAGTCTTTACTTACTTAAAAGGAAGATGTCCCTGAATGTAAGATGACTCCCTTAAACTACTATAAACTTCCCCCTCCCCCAATTATTACCAGACAGAACTCTGTGCAAACGTAAGCTAACCTCCTCTTTTTTAATGGCTTATCTGGGAAAATAATTAGTCTTTCATTTGAGTAAATACGGTGGAACAATGGCTTCTAATGTTTGTCCAGAACAGGAAGTGCCAGCTAAAGCGTTCCTTTCATTCAGTCCAAAAGAAGAGATGGTAATCACAATAGCTACAATTTACTCTGTTGGTTACTCTTATCAGTGGCTATTAGAAAGTAACAATACTTTGTACCATATGAAAATCAGCAGAAGATTTTGGGGCAGGGATATTTACACTGAATGTTAATAAATACTGGAAGTGGATGAGGTGACAACACATAATGGTCTCTCGAAAGAATTTTCAAGAATTGAAGAAATAGTAGAGTCCTTACTGTTGGAGCTGACCAAATACATTCCTTGATTATGGATATTTGAAGCTGCTTCCTTCTGATTTATTTTATTTTATTTATATCCCACCCTTCCCGCCTAGCAAGCTCAGGGCGGGTTCCATCATACCAAGTCAACAATCACATAAATTTCAGATTGGTCCATCAGTCTAGTCTACTAACTAGTAGCAGCTCTTCAAGATTTAGTAGTAAGGGATAAGATGCAGGATTTCCAAACAATTGGTGAGGTAATCTGTGCACTTGACTGTCCCTGGTATATGCTTCTTAAAAGTAGAAATGAAAAGTTATACTGCTTAAAGCACAGCCATGACTCTGGTATATTTTCGGTAGTTTTTCTTCAGATACTTGTAATTTAATGCTATACTGTGTTGCACAAACCACCCAACTTCAGTAGAGTGTCAGGCATTATTACTGAGTTCATGCTTGTGAGAAACGCCTTCTTGGTAAGCCAGTCATATTCTCCCATCATTTGTGGGTATGACAGTCAGTGGAAGGGATGATTAAACATGACCTTTTGCCTAAATGGAAAGGACAGAGATTTGTTCATACTGATAGTTTTAGGGGAGGGAGGGAGGGAGGGAGAGCAGTTCATGCTTCTAGGCTTGAGACGCTGCCAGATATCTTGCTGGATGAACCTCGGTTCTGATTTCTCACCCTAGGTGCACTACTGTGTTGATCTAGTTTCATTACTGCTTTCTACTCCAGTAAAAGAACCAGAGCTTTTAGCTGTACCTGTGCTGCATAGAATTGTCCAATAGCCTAATTATTCCTAAACAGTGGCTTGTCATGTCATCCTGCAAGGATGCATGTGTGTCAAACGTTGTACCAACATAGCAGAGGTGATTGAGGGCAAAGGCTTTCAGGTAAGCAGGCACAGAGCTAATATATAGATGGTCTGACTAAAGGGGAACTTCAAAGGGTGTTTTTCATTAAACTTGAGAATTCTCCACTTAACTGCCTTCATGTCGTCATGTATGTTTTGTTGCCAGCTCTGGAAGTAGGATATTGGTACAGCTTCACACTGCGCTTCCTTGTGGAAAAGCTTTGGTGAGATAGGACTTACAGTGCCATCCTAAGCACAGTTGCATCTTTCTAAGTCTGTTGAAGTCTAGAAAGGTATAATGTTGCTTAAGGTGGTGTGGTTAGTTGTCAGACCTCAAACTATCCTGTAGGACTCTGCTGTATCCCAGTACAGTGGTTTAAAGTGCTTCTTTAAAATTGCCCTACATGTAGTTTGTTTGCAAATGTTCATGGTTTCTAGCATGAAGTGTATGATAGTAGGCCTGGTAGGGTCCACTGATGCATGTGGCCAGTCTTAAAAGGTCAAATTAGTCTACTTCATGGCATTTTCAGCATTACGGATTAATTGGAAGGGCAAAGAGGCTTCTGCTTATATTTTATTTATTTATTTATTTTATTCAATTTATACCCCGCCCTCCCCGCAGCACGGGCTCAGTGACCCTAGCTTGCTGCTTTACTGTTTTTATGTTTATCAGTACCTACTGGAAGTACTGAGTAACCTTTTTAATTTAACGGTGATAAAGTCCTAAGTTTGTGAATTCCTAAAGTTATTTGTATTTATTTACTTCATTCTCACAACAACCCTGTGAGGTATGTTAGGCTGACAGCGTGTCACTGGCCCAAGGTCACCCAGCAAACTTCCATGGCAAAGTGTGGATACTCTAATCACTATGCCACACTGGTTAGTTCAGCTGTGTGTTAAGCTTTTCTTAATGTGAATTCCACCCAAATTGCAGCTCAGGTATATTGTATACTGTGTCATTCATTCCAAAGTCTTATCATGCCTGTCTGTTAACTGGTGAATTCTACTGCAACCTATAGTAGAAAAAAAAGTGGTAAAAGCTTATTCAGCAACTGTTACCAGTTTTCTAACTATTGGTAGAAATCTGCTTTAAAGGCTGAGTGTCTTAGGAGCAGCTTCTGAAAAGTCCAAGTGAAAAAGGCCAGTATCTGGAAAACTTATACTTAAAAGCAATAGTTAGTTAAAGAATATTATTTAAGTATACAGTCTGAAAATGCTTCAGAGAGAAGCAGATTACAACAGTCTCAGTGGTGAGTTATAAAATGGGGCGGTGTTTTTATAACAGTATCTGAATGTGCCTTGAATTGGTCATCTTGTTTGCTATACCATCGGCACCAGTCATGAGATCCCAGGTCCTTGGAAATCTTATGTCAGTCCATTAAGGAAGGGCGTGGCCACCACTTGTTTGCTATACCATCGGCACCAGTCATGAGATCCCAGGTCCTTGGATATCTTGTGTCAGTGCATTATGGAAAGACGTGGCCACCATCTGTCAAGGTGAAGCAGCCAGACAAGTACTTCAGTGTAAATTCAGCAAACACAGGAATGGTTTGTAACTGAACAGAACAGTAGTTTGAATTGGTCTTTCAGTATAGGTGATAAGTTGAATAAATATTTTATGAAGTCCAGAATGTTCCCCATATGCAAATGTCTGCCTTCGGTACTGCCTTCTGTAGTCATCAGGTGGAAAAGGGGCAGGAGTTCCTTGGTCCCTAGCCCGGTAAGGAGTCGGATCGCGCATGCGCTTGCCCCTTGTTCTCTGAACCTGTTTCTGTTTTCCCTCTATTCTCAATAAACTACATGGCCTAGTTTCTCTTGTTGTCTGTAAATGCAAGATATCTCATAACAAGACCACAGTGTTTACGTGAACCAAAAACATCTGAGCAGGCATGGCAACGGTACAGATTACATGCCCAGAAGTTGGGGCTATCACAGTCTATTGCATTTGCTGTGGGGAAGAGAGCTGTCATCTGCAGAGCTTCTGTGGTGAACTGGACTCTGGACCATTCTGTTAGATCATTGTTTTTGAAAAATTAGCATAATTCTCTTGGTGGTGAAAGTGCCATCAAGTTGTGGCCAGCTTAAGGTGACTCTGTAGGGTTTTCAAGGCAGGAGGTGATTTGCCATTGCTTGTATCTATGTAGCAACCTCAGACTTCCTTTTGAGTTTTTTAAATTGTTCATATGTATATGTGTGTGCTTGTGCATGTGAGTGTGTGTGTACCTGGAAGTCATGGCGACCTCTGGTGACTGACTGTGTGTACCTGGAAATCATGGTGACCTCTGGTGACTGACTGTGTGCACCTGGAAGTCATGGCGACCTCTGGTAACCAATGCTCCCTCTAAGCTGTGGAGTCTTGTGAACAAAAATTCTACTTTATGAGCTACTGGCATTAAATTTGTGAGCGAGCAATTTGGCTACTCCAGAGTTCCCTCTAAGCTAAGTTAGTGTGAGTTAGCTCACAGTTTTTTAGCCCCCAGCTCACACATTTTTGTCTTAGCTCAGGAAGGATGGCCCCAGAGCAAACTAACTTATGCAGTAGCCAAATTGCTCGCTCACAACTTTAATGCCAGTAGCTCACAAAGTAGAATTTTTGCTCACAAGACTTCACAGCTTAGAGGGAGCATTGGGCCTACTGCATAAATTATTTTGCTCTGGAGCCCTCCTTCCTGAGTTAAGACAAAAATGTGTGAGCTGGAGGCTAAAAAACTGAGCTAGCTCACACTAACTCTGCTTAGAGGGAACACTACTGGTGACTGACCCCTACTGGGGGCCTGGAGGATATTCCAAGAGGTGGCTGAATAAAGCCTGCCCCTGCCTCCTGACTGCTGGTATTTCAAGGAGGTCTCCCATCCAAGTACTTGCCAGAGTTGACCCTGCTTAGCTTCTGAGATCTGACAAGATTGGACTCGCCTGGGCTATCCAGGGCAGGGCAACCTCAGACTTCCTTGATGGTCTCCAATCCAAGCACTAACCAGTACTGGCTCCAAAACAAAGCTTGGCATAGTTGACCATTGTTTGAGAATATTTTGCCAATATTTCACAGGTCAGTTGGCTAAACTTTTGTCAACTGCTAATCTTTGTTTTTCAGCTCTCTGAACATGAAGCAAATGTTTTACAATAGTGTACTTGACTATATTCTAGTTTGCTGATAACCTGGATTAATTTGATTAATTCTTTTGTTTTGGCTTTCTAGTTCAAAGCCTATTTCTTCACCTGCAATCCTCCAGTTTGGTCATGCAGAGACCCTTCAACCACTCCTTGCTCTCATGGGTTACTTCAAGGACAACGAGCCTCTTAAAGCAAATAACTACCATAAGCATATGAATCGGAAATTTCGTAGTGGCCGAATCGTCCCTTATGCTGCAAACCTGGTTTTCGTGCTTTACCATTGTGATCAAGTCCAGTCTCCCAAGGAAGAGTACAAAGTACAGATCCTGCTCAATGAGAAACTGCTGGAATTTCCTTGGTCAAAGAAGACGGTCATTTCATTTGCCAACCTGAAAAACCGCTATAAAGATGTCCTTCAGAAATGCCACTTCACAGACGTGTGTGACTTGCCGCAGAACAGTACTGCTTGTGCTTGAAGTGGGGGGAAAGTGCAGTACAGAACATATCCTGGATGTTGAGTCAAACATACTTTTTTCTTGGGGTGGGCATGCTCTTGATTGGGGAGGCATACTGTTGCACTGCTCTGCTTTCAAACCGCTTCTTAGACTTCTTGTAATTTAAAACTCCAGCAAAAGCAAGCATTTATTCAATAGCATTCAGAATACCTCAGGCATTTCTGTAATAGCTCTGTCCCTGAAAAAGTACTGCTGTTGCTGGAATCAAGATAATCAGGAGTAAGAATATTCTATTTAGCACACAAGTTAATTTCACATCAGTCCCATTTTATCTGATATAAATATTCTGGACACTGTGAATAAAAAAACAAACCCTGCTTCACTGGAATAATCATTTGCAAAAACAGCCAAATATTATGTATCAATATAGATTGAATGTCAGGTGGCTTTAAAAACTAAAACACTTGGGTACAGTTGTAATCCTACAATTTATTACTGAAATCATTCCTTTCCAAATGGAACATATTTAGGATCTAGAAAAAACTGCCCAATGACAGATGTGTGGGTTGTCAACTTGTTCAGACCTGAAATATTTTTCCCCAGTTTATTTAGTTTTGGCTGGTGATAGTGTGATTATAATACAATTCTGTGGCTGCAGAAGGAGAGTAATGTCCAGTTTTGCTATCTGAGGAGAAACCAGTCCAAATGGTTGTCATTGTCTTCTTTCGTGACAGTGAAGATGAAGAGCCACTGGTTAGAGCACGACAGAGTGAAGAATTACCGGGCTTGGTGGAGTAATATAAACGGAACATTATAAAGAGGGGGTCTAGTGCTTTCACAAATGTAACATCTATAGCAAGTTGTGTAGGGCTTTTCTTATGTCGAAAGATTTCTATGGCCTCTCCCTGTTCTGCACTATTTTTGTCCCTTGGGTCGAATCTTAACTAAATGGGCAACTTTCACTGAGTCTCCCTTCCTACTGCAAACTCCCCATCACATCATTCCTTAGGGTCCCCGTATTCCCCAGGGTTCATGGAGATCAATGGACTGCAGTGGAAAGGTGAAGGCAGGAAAGTTCCTTTCTGTCATTGGTAAATTTTGTCTGGGCCCATCCCATTGTGTTTGAAATCCTTTGCATTCCTATGGGGAGGCTGGAGATATATTTTGGTAGGAGAAGTACTTGTTTTTTGCCAGTGGAAGGTCACTTTCACCAACTGGTTAACAGTTTTCAGTATCTACTGAGCCCTGGGGGCAGCATTTCAAAGAATGTGGTGCGCTGCAGCAGGAGCAGAGACGTATCTGCCAGTGAGTCTCCTTCCACAACCAGCACACCACTCAAGGTTCACTGGACACAACCAAGTCTCATACATTTACCAGTAATTTGATCTTAACATCAATCATCATTTTAATCAGTCTTGTATAGTTGTTCATTTCTGTTGTGTATAAGTTTCTTTTCCCTTCAAACTGTTCCTTGAAACTGGATGGCTTTTAATTAATGAGCTGTCTTGGATAATAGTGTTCAGTATTTTTGAACAAATCTCATTTTAAGAATAAAAAGTAAGCATTGCATCTTCAAAAAAACATTCCTTTAAAGCAAATAATTGAACATATAATACCCTGAATATGAAAAAGATGCAATCATGATTGCAAATTATGCAGATGACAGAAAATATTTAAGAAACTGGAGTTAAAGGTTAAAATTTATCATTTAGTGCTTACAGAACATTTTGAGTTAAATTAGACTATAGTGTGCCTTACAACAGTGTTATAAATATTTCTAAAGGGAAGATCTGCAGGCCAGTTTGGGATTTGCTTACTGAAAGATATAAAGTCAATAAACCCCTTAGAATGTTTAATTTGCAGGGCTTTGCATTCTACGGAAGTCCAGTGCTTGTATCACTTTTAGAGCTGTCCCACAGGAGAAATAAAGGACATTGGCATTTACCATAACAATTAAGTCAAACAACCAAAATCAAATGATTCTTACAGCTATTACCATATTAAACTGTCTTATCTCTATTGTGAAATATGTATCATGGATAAGCTCGTCTTAGACTAGATAAAGGTGAATTATGTATTTGTGGGCTGCGTGGTTAGTTTGTTTACAGTGTGAGTGTGTTTTGTAGTTGGCTTGCAAACTCAATCTAATGATATAGTTTTAGTAACACACATAGTATTATGGTCTTTGATTCTGCATAACAAAATAGGAGAGATAAACTAAGAACAAGCTAATCTGCTTAATATTTCATCTGTTCTCTCTTTCTCATGCAGGCATAGAATGTTCTACGTTTGTGAAGTTAGTGGGAAGCACTTCATTATTTCGAAAGACAATGTTGCTTTATTTCTGCTTTGTAAATACAACTGAACTCTAAGGAAGTGGGGAGGGAATAAAAACTGAAGTATTTATAACATCACCTTTAAACAGTATTAGATTGGCATTAAATTTGGAGTGTTACTGTGGTGCAAACCGCACCACCATCCTAAGTTTCCAATATAATGGCTTGTTAAAATTTTGGTTTAAATGGCTATTAGGGATGTGCATTCAGATATATCTGGTCCAAATATATATCTGAAAAATACCTTTACTGGTGTTTTCCAGAAATATTCAAGTCTCTGGATGGTATATGGGATTTTCCAGGATACTAGAAAATAGGTCCCGAAAAATCCCAGAAATATTCAGGAGTAACTGGGAATATTTGGTTTTAAGGCTTCCATTATTTTTCTTGAATTTTGCTGTGTGTCTCTGTCAGTCTTTCCAGGGCTTGATCCCAGCTTGCCAAATTGATTTAGCTTAGATTCTATGCTTTGAAATTAGTTCTGTGGGTCTTGCAACATTGTGTTCTTCACCTGAGTTGGTTTGTGTCACATTTGTGGTTTGTGGTAGAATCTCTGTTTTGACATTGCCTTGAATTCTTGGGTTGTCCATTGGGTTGGTTTACAGTGTGAGTGTGTTTTGTAGTTGGCTTGCAAACTCAATCTAATGATATAGTTTTAGTAACACATAGTATTATGGTCTTTGAGTCTGCATAACAAAATAGGAGAGATAAACTAAGAACAAGCTAATCTGCTTAATATTTCATCTGTTCTCTCTTTCTCATGCAGGCATAGAATGTTCTAAGTTTGTGAAGTTAGTGGGAAGCACTTCATTATTTCGAAAGACAATGTTGCTTTATTTCTGCTTTGTAAATACAACTGAACTCTAAGGAAGTGGGGAGGGAATAAAACTGAAGTATTTATACCATCACCTTTAAACAGTATTAGATTGGCATTAAATTTGGAGTGTTACTGTGGTGCAAACCGCACCACCATCCTAAGTTTCCAATATAATGGCTTGTTAAAATTTTGGTTTAAATGGCTATTAGGGATGTGCATTCAGATATATCTGGTCCAAATATATATCTGAAAAATACCTTTACTGGTGTTTTCCAGAAATATTCAAGTCTCTGGATGGTATATGGGATTTTCCAGGATACTAGAAAATAGGTCCCGAAAAATCCCAGAAATATTCAGGAGTAACTGGGAATATTTGGTTTTAAGGCTTCCATTATTTTTCTTGAATTTTGCTGTGTGTCTCTGTCAGTCTTTCCAGGGCTTGGTCCCAGCTTGCCAAATTGATTTAGCTTAGATTCTATGCTTTGAAATTAGTTCTGTGGGTCTTGCAACATTGTGTTCTTCACCTGAGTTGGTTTGTGTCACATTTGTGGTTTGTGGTAGAATCTCTGTTTTGACATTGCCTTGAATTCTTGGGTTGTCCATTGGGTTGGATTCTCTAATTTTACATTTGTTGGGCTTACAATAGTGTTCCTATTCCATTTGCCTTGGGGGGATTCTCTGGTTTGACATTGGGTTGGTGTAAGGAACAGCTACCATTTAGGCCTATATGTTGTTTGGTTTTATTGGTTTATTTAGGTTGTAAATTCTGACAGGCCCTAGTTTTGTCTCCTATGCAAAAGGGAATGTGCTCGCTCCTTAATTACATCCACATGTGGGCATTTGGTTCTCAACAGAATTGACCTTGGGAGCCTCCCTAATTTTCTCATGCTAGAAATGCTAACTAGCTAAGTGGTTCCAGATTGGGTAACAGACTCATGGGCTGATGTAAGGATACCTGAAAATGTGGCTCAGGTGGCTGTGCACTACTACTCTACCGGCATGTGAGAGAGGTGGGGGCTTCCATGCCAGCATGCCAGAATGGCAAGGACTGTTTTGCTTGGAATGGACTTCCTTTCTTAAGACTGTGTGGGTAAGGATGTTATGCTCTGAACCCACATCAGAAAGTAGCAAGCTTTTATTGTCTCAGTAAGTTAGCCTCTAGCCCAGGAGTGTCGAACTCATTTGTTATGAGGGCCGGATCTGACATAAATGAGACCTTGCTGGGCCATGCCATGTGTGTCATAAAATGTAATGCCAGGTAGCAGAGATATAAACTTTATAAAGGACACAAAAACAAAGGGTTTTTTTACTTAAAATAATATCATGCTTAAAACATTAGCACTCTTGCAATGTTTTGTTTATTTAACAGTGTCTGATAACTGACACCTCTGGCTCTGAATTATTGCATCAAAATGTCTGTGCTGTTGCAATCTTGAGTATGCTGTTCAGGTGTGCATCTGTAAGCTGCAAACCTACGATGACACAGCAGGAGCAGAACTGGAAGAAGCAGCAGAAGACAGCCAGTTCCACCGTGGGCCTGATAGAAGCCTTGAATTCTTGGTTGTCCAAGAATGTCTAGAGAGAAGCACACACATGTTTGACACCCCTGCTCTAGCCAGTACTAGTTTAGTGTTATTGGTATATTTCCACCGCTTGTGCTTAAGAGAGTGGTTCCCACCTAGCACATACTCCTTATAATTTGAACAATTTAATCTAAAAAATAATTTTTACTCTCTTGTGTTGAGAGCTACTTGCTGAGTGTGTGCACATACCCTCCCAAACTAACCCAGAGGCTGAAAAGCCTCAAGTAAAGGTCCAAAACCCTGTAAGGCTTCTAGGGGTCTCGGGTGGCTGTGGTTTCAGAGCCTAAGAGTGGGAGCAAGGCCCCCCTGGTCCTTATAGTTGGATTCTCAGGTTGCACATTTGTTGTGTTAGGCTTGCCTCTTGGTCCAATTCACTTGAAACTTGGGGGTTATTTAAAGATGCAGTTTTGGTGCAATTTGCTCAAAAAAATAGCACCTCATGCTCTCTGGAAAGATTCCCCGTAGGGAATAATGGAGCTGAATAATATTGAAATCTCCCCCCCTCCCCCCAACCCAGGTCTGAATACCAAACTGGTATTTGGAACATGGATAACCAGGAATACTGATGTTTTTCAGCTCCCTGATAGCCAGATTTGAAAAAATACTGATTTTTTTCGAGGTGAACGTCCCTAATGGATACTTTTAAATCACTGAAGATAATGTGGGAATATATGTCTTATATGTAGTGTGATAAAATATAGTGTTGGAGTGCTTTAACAGAAGATCTGGTGTTGGTTTTATAGTTTACAAAGTGGGCAAAACACTTCTGTTATTGAGTGGTAAATTACAACACATTACTGTAATTAACACAGTGACAATCCTTTTGGGATAGCATTGTTGGTCAATGGACATGATTTTTCCTATTTTATAACGGGTATGCATTTAATACGACAGCTTGGACCCAGTGATGTGCATGCAGAAACATAAACAGACGTAGCACAGTTTCTCTTGTGCAAGACCTTGTACAACACCTAGCACTTTCCTCCCTGTATAAATGCCCAGAAATTTGTTGCACAAATTGGAAATGCTAGTGGAGATGCAATAAATTTGACTTAGCACAAGAGACTATAATTGTCTTTTTCTTGAACTTCCACTTGTGTAAGAGCTATAGCACAAGCAGAAATTTTGCACTGGATCCAGCCCAGTGTTTCTGACTTCTAACACATTGGAAACAAAACTAAAATTGGTCCAGATGCCTACAAAAAAATCACTTTATGCTTATGGGCCAATTTGTGTGAACTGCTGCCAAAGATATATCTTACTTGCACTGTATTTATTTGAGGGTCTGCTGGAATGCCTGTGCTACCTGATATTTTTCTGGGCTCAGAGGTTTTGGCAGCAAATATTCCTTACTCAATAACCTTCACTCAAGCAATGAGAGCTTGATTTAAAATTACTGAATACATTTCTCCATAGCAATTATTAAGCTTTAGTGAGTTTTAAAACTACATTTTGAAAGTAATGAAATGTACTTAGAATCTAGAGAGAAGCACACACAGAGCTGAATCAGCACATCAGATAGTCAGTGCAGTAAGTTCTGACAGCTCTAATTATCCATTTGGGATGGAAGAGAGTTGTGGATTTGGTACCCCCCCCCCAAGATGTTAAT